AATATATATACATATATATTTCTTTTGAATCTGTTATAATTCCGCAGAACTTTTTATAAATTATTCCAACATTTCTTTATAACTAATTCAATTAATTAAGATAATAATAATCTGAACTTTTCCTTTTGACTTTGTAAAATATTTTATAATTTCAGCACCAGTCAGAAACTTATTTTGATTTGTTTGATCTTCTTGTTTTATTTTAATTTTTCGGTTCGAAATCGAATTATATAATCTTTAACAAATACAATATATAGATACATAGTTGTTGTTCTTGTTGTTGTATACACAATCTTTATATTAACTTTCTCGCTCTCGCTTTCTCTTTTGTTCATTTTCTTTATCAATATGATTTGAAAATTGAAGAACTTTTTCTTCTCTTTATGCACATTAAATCTCTTCCATTTGCGTTTTTGTTGTTGTTGTTCTTTTCTAATGCTGTCTATACACAATCTTTTTAAACTCAACTTTGGCTCTCTACTTTTGTCTCTTGTCTTGCGTGACTTTCTCTAGCCTTGCAATTTTCTAGATGGTCTCTTGCATGTCAATTAAATCCAATAAACTTATAAATATATTTTCAATTATATTTATTCATATAAATATACATACCATTTATTTATTTTCTTTTCATTTATTTTAACCGTTTATTTGCATCAGAGACTAGTTTCTTGCACCTGATTGCCGAATGAACTGTAATTCCTTAGTTGTTCACCGATCAATTAAATAGAGTTTACAATGAATGAAATGAACGTCCACTACAACCCGCGTTGCTGTACATATTCACGAAACTAGTTTTAGGATTCAATTTCAATGTAAAACGCATATGTATGCGTATGTATGTATGTTTCCAGTCACTCGATGTACCCCCAACTGCAATACATTCGAGTATATATCTTTCCAGCCATATATTTCAGAAAAGATGAGAAAATAATTCTTGAAATCGAGTTTACTAAACGTTCTTTCCGGTTTCTATTCCCCTTATGTGCTTTTTACAACAGTTATATATATGTATATACCTCTTTAGTTAATTTTCTTCTTCTTAATTAATTATATGTACTTATATCTACTTTTCTACTGGTTTTGAATGTTTGCTCTTGTTTGTTTGCCATTTAGCCTATTTCAATATTTTGGATATACATTCTATTCATTTTGTTTTGTTCCTTGGTTTCCTTAGAGATATAACAACAAAAACAACAACACCGCAGGGGCTTAAAGCACATATACCATATATACAACTCTATATATATATATCAAAATGATTTTCAATTGAATGACGAGCATTCTCTTTGTAATCTATGTACATTTCTTCCGTGTAAAATATATTTTTAAAAACCGTTTTTAAAGTCTTAACCCTATAAATATAATCATATACTAATATATATGTATCTACAATATCATGCGAGCCATCATCTAAGTGGCCGTAATTGTTCAATGTGTAATTATTGTATTCATCAAAAACCTAAGATACGCTGCCCCGAGCAGTTTTTTTATAGGGATTTGATTTTCGTAAGACCAGACGCCATGCGCAAAAGGTAATATAATTTTTAATGCTACTTACATACATATGATGTTCATCAGATTAAGTAACTACTACTACTACTACAACGTATATACATATATGTACAATAACTCTTAATTAAATTCAATACGATTTTGACTCTTGCCAATGTTCCTAGCGATCCATTACGTTTTGGCGCCTTTTACTCCGTTTTGTATTGTGTTTTCGAGAAATCGTTTTGCAAGCAACCAACATTTCTATTTCGATTTCAATTTCAATTACCATTTTCAATGCCCCCCCCCCCCCCCCCCCCGTAAAAATGTTTCAGATTAATTTGATTTCATTCTCGATTGGTTTGAATTTATTATTTGGATTTTCTGATTGTATTTTTGGATTTTTGTTTTCAAATTGCGGTGAATTATATCAAAAACAAAAAAGTACTTGAAACTCATTCTCGGACCCACGCGATTACGATAATGATAACGATAACTCGAGTCGATATGTTCTATATAAGTAAGAGTAAACCTTACCAGGCAGCAGCTGTAACTCAAACTTTGAGACTACTACATTCAATTAGAATTGATTTGATTTTCTTTCGGTTCGATTTTGGTTTATTTTAATTATTCTGTTTTTTTTTTCTTTGATTTCATTTACTACTACAACTTCTTTCAAATAATTTTTTGTAATGGTCTGCTGTGGTAAATGTGAAGTCTTTATGTTATATTCGTTGCTATAGATGCTCGCCCTGCTTCCCCTACACTGTTAGACAACACGGGCCACCCTGCCCCCGATCACCAAACGCAGGTAAATACTCTTTTCTCTTTTGTTTTCTTTTTTCGTTTTATATAAATACTTGAAAGAAAAAGAATTAAAATAAAAGCAAAACTAAACAAAATCTCCTTTTTGAATAATTAATGCTTAAATAAAAAATACAAACAAATACTCTAAAGAAAAATTAAGAAAGCGCAAAAAAAACATATTTATATATAAATAACAACATCTCATACGCAACAAAAACTATAATTACTAATACTACAACAACTACTACTACTACTACTACTACTACTGCTACTACTACTGTTAATACTACTGCTATTACTACTACTATTTCTACAGCTGCTATCTCTGTCACTCATTTGAATTCGGCTCTCTTTCTTGAAAACGATCGATTGTGTTATAAAAATTTCATTCCTAACACACACACACACACATACGCTCTAGAGAACACACATATTATATAAATGTTGATCAGCTCGAACACTTTTATAATCATCTGCCATAGCTAATACTTAGAGGACAACTCAATACCTACACGGTTTCATAAGCTTATTTTTGTAAATTCTTTTTAG